AAAATAGGCAACAGAGATAGTATGCCGCTAGGTTTTACTGTCTAATGCAGAAGAAAGGAAAAGGCTGTTACAATTTGCTAAGAGCTTCTTAAAATATTTGGGGGCATGTCTCTCCCTCTCCCTCTCTAAAGAAGAAACAGCCCATCCTCCTGCATGCAGGCTTTTGAGAACAGAAACAGAAGGTAATGTCAGTGATGGGAGGGAGCCAAGATCCCAAAGACACCAAAATGTAGGTTGCAATGTCCTTGTTCTTCACTCAGGAAGTAGACAATAGGATTAGACTTGTCAAATATTCGGCAAGTAGAAAAATGCAGAAATTGTGCAATTATAGAACAAGTTGGGTGTGTGTGCGTGTGTGTGTGTGTGTGTGTGTGTGTGTGTGTGTGTGTGTGTGTGTGTGTGTGTGTGTGTGTGTGCAGAATCAAACAGCACTGCTACAGGCCAAAAACAACCTCATACAGTCCCTGTTTGTGTTTTAAAAATATCACAAGCAACCTGTTTTCTATTTCGTACCCCGTCCCTTTCCGTCCTCATTTTAAGGTTTAAATAGGCGTCAGAAGTTCTATTTTTAGTGGAGCTCATTTAACTGAATCATATGGAGAACAATCTATTGACACGCTCTGACTGAAGGGTGCGTGGGTGGCATTTCCACTTAAAAGACGGAGTGTGAATTGTAATGAAGTGAGGAGGCAAAACGAAATGGATGGGAGGGGGCAGACTCCATGGCTAAGAGCAATGGGTGTACAAACAGCGAGCTCACAAAGAGTGATTCATTTAAAGGGATTTTGTGTACGCTCCAGATTTAGGCACTCATCATAAACATAGAAAGGATAAATAAAGAATGCCCAGGAGAGAGAGATGGGAATATTAAAATAATTTAGGAAAGAGAACAAAGTTGACAAAGTGATAAGAAAGTGGAGAGGAAATGTTGAGGAGAAAATAGCTTTTGGAGATATACATCAGAGAGAGATAGCTGGATGTACTTGACAGATACAGAAACGCTGTGAGACTTAAAGAGAGGGAGGCATGGCAGCTGGATGGATGGAGGGATGGTAGGACCACATCATTGGATTACAGGGGCAGAAAATTAAAAGTATTTTCTTTGTATCCACCTCCAGCAAAAAGGATCCAGTGATCCATAATGTTCCCGCTCTGAGGAGTCTGATAAAGCTGCGACAGCAAGACTTAACAGAAGGCCTTAACAGAATATAAACAGCAAGTGTGTGCATGGGTACAAATGAAACATGTCTGTATGAGCCTATTGCATAATCATCTATAAGTTGGCATGAAGAACACACTGCTGGGGTGATGATCAAATGATATGCACAGGCACACGGATAATGGTTGCTTATGACTCATGATTCATATTGTAATCCGCTGCCCTGCATTCATTCATACTCATTGGCAAATAAATAACAGCACCTGGTGTGTGTGTGTGTGTGTGTGTGTGTGTGTGTGTGTGTGTGTGTGTGTGTGTGTGTGTGTGTGTGTGTGTGTGTGTCATCAGTAGCACAGCTTGAGACTGTGGGTGTTTCTCAATGTCAAGGAAGGATCCTTCAGAGCCACCATTTCAAGGATGCTACGTCATCGAATCCCGCCGAAGGACTGTTCCAATGTACGGGATCCTTGGAATTCTTTGGCGGAAAATGGCTGAATCCAGGCAGTACACATTTAAATGTAAGTATGTTCAGTGGCGTAGTAAGTGCACATGACTTGTGTTTAAAGTGTATAGTCCGTTTGCGTTTTGCCCATGTGAACGCAAACCGAACCTTCTGAAAAATGAAACAATGTAACAAACTGTAGTCTGGCGCGCACCAGAGTGTGAATGAGACCTTAGACCGTTTTGCACCTAAATAAATAATTAAAATTAACCTTGACTTTGCCTCTTTTGTTGATATTTGTGGTTTATGCTACAATGTGCACCAATATGTGTAAAAAAGGTTTGCAGACATCAAGTATGATATATGAATGGAAAAGATGTACAGAAACACTTTTTTGGAAAACTATGAGAATGAAGAAAGGTGATTTAAAGTGGACCTATCATGCTATATTTAAATTATATATTGTAGGGCCATACCTATATAAGGTATATTTATACGTTTCTGTTTTCAAAATACCAAACAGATCATGCATTTTAGCCATGCCTCATTTCGCTCTATGTGCTGTTTGCTGTCTACGGGGCTGATTCTATGAGCTGCAGCTGACCACTGCAGGAGAGGGGTGCCGCTCTGATCAAGTCAAGAGGGGGAGAAAAAAAGATCTCCGTCCTCCGTGTTTTATTATATTGTTATAGGCCTATAGAGTCGTTATTCATTTGTTTTAAAGCTCAATAAATAACAAAGAAGACCTTTGACCGGCACTTTTCTAATTTTGTCCGGAAGATTTCAACTTTAACGGACATCTTGACCGGCGAAAGAAACTGAAACTGAAACTCTGCCACACGGTCCCCTCGTTCCTTGGAAGAGGCGGAGAGGTGGGTGTTTGTCATCTGCTGGTGGACTAACCGGAGAGAATTACAGTGCTTGCCCCGACGGGGAGGGATTGCATTGAATTAAAGCAGCAGGAGCAAACGCTTGCCTCAGGGAGGGAGAAAAAAAGCCACAGCGGAGAATAGAGTGGCGAAGTCACGCCCATCTACTTCCGCCCCATGGGACCTTATTTCGGAAAAATAATGTATTGAAGTCAATGGAGAGAGAAAACTTATCTTTCGATCCCGTTTGAATTTTGCCATGAATTACACATATGATGTTTGTCAATCTTAAAAAATAATTTCGATGTCAAAAAAGTCACAGTTTGTCGTAAAACTGTTGAAATATAAGACTATGAAAAATACGTAACTAGAAAGACTACAAATCCCAGAGTCGCGTAAGTGATGTCACAATTGTTTTCCTCCACTAAGAGATAGCTAAGATCAGCGCCATATAGATATAATCTATCTATATGGCGCTGGCTAAGATAAGATCACTTTAACAAGATGCCTGTGTGCTTAGTACCAGGTTGTTATTATACCAGCAATGGGTCTTGCTCGTTCTTTCGCTTCCCGTCTGATGAAAGGACCAGGAGTGTGTGGATCAAGCTAGCTAGTAGCTAGCACGTTAGTTAGCATTACAGCCTTGTCATTTTTATTAGCCTTAACATGAAGTAACATTAAGTAACCCAAAATGTTAAACAGTAAGAGTAGTAGTCATATTTCGTGAACCCTTTGAAGAGCACTGTCACCGGTGTGATCATTCTATAATACACAATTTAAGCCCGGGGGAGAAATGCTAACGCTAACGCTAGCATCGACGATCTTCTCTACTTCATGCTATCTGCACAAATGGTTGACATTAAACATTAAAACGACCAGGCAGTTCAGAGAGAATCAAAGGAAGGCAGGCAGGCAGCTTTGCATGACATTCTTCAGGACGTGTTTCATTGTGGTGATAGTGAGGGTAGTCAATCGTTTTGTTGACAAGACAGTAGTGACGGCCATCTTGGTGACGTGTGTTGTTGACCAGAGATGTAGTTCATTGAGCGTTTCACACAAACAAATGTGTTACTTCACAGTTTTACGACACATTTTTTTTTTTTTGACTTGCAAAATTATCTTTTAAATTGACAAACATCATATGTGTAATTCGTGGCACAATTCAAACGGGATCGAAAGATAATCTTTCTCTCTCCATTGACTTCAATACATAATTTTTCCGAAATAAGGTCCCATGGAGGTCCGCCGGAAGGGGAGGGACTTTGCCACTCTATAAACAGAAGGGTAACCATGGCAACTATGGGCGGGAAGTCTTCTTTGCTGCTTTTGTGGCAGACTACAGCGCCACTTACAGGCCTGGCATATGTACTACAGCGTCTCCAGCGCTTTCGAGCGGCAATGGCCGGCCGTGGCCCAACCCCACATTCCCGATAGGTGGAGAGTTGGCCCAATAGCCGTAGCGCCACTTCTGTGACGTCATTGAAGTGTTCAAATCTGGATCAGTTTTTATCAGATCCGTTGCAGCCCCTTTTTTAGAGATTTGGGTATGGAGGAAAATAGAGAGGGTTGTGTTTTCTGACACTTGGTGAGTTCCCTGGAACACCGGGGACACATATTCATGTATAAAAGACGTACAAAAGTGCCTTTTGCATGATAGGTCCCCTTTAAGATGAGAAATGATTGTAGATGTATGTATAAATGTAAATATGTAAGTAGGAATAACTTGCAGAAATGATTTGGATAATCATTGATCAGCAGTAAGTAAGGGGTGGGAATTATAAGCATTTGCTTCCTCCTGCTGCCTTTTGGGCACATATGATTTATTATTATTATTATTATGAATATTCTTGTTGAATATATAAATATTATTATGAATATTGATAAATACTGTATTCTAACAATACGGTATTCTGTTTTTCAAATTTTTTATTAGTTTTTTTAATCTGTTCGAAATAAAGATGGAAATGAAAAATCTAATGAAATACACATTTTATTATTGATTGGTGATGGTGATTTTTATGATTTTCTTATGGCTGCTTATCCTCCAGGACTTTTTCAAGGCTGCAAACAGAAGGAGAACGTTTTATGTTAGTTTAGTGGTTCTGTCCTGGAGAGATGATCATTTTACAAAATACAGTTACTCAAGCACATCATCGATCTTCGCAAATCAGTTATGAGTCTTCAAACAAATCGCGCTCAATTTAAGGCGGGACCTCTCATATGACGCACACCTGCACACTTGCTAGCCTGTTCCATTCTTCGTTCTCCGAATGCCAGGAAGGATTCTTGCCTAGCCTCTGAAGGACCTGACTCTGAAGACATGTCCTACCAAGGAAGCGTCCTCGACATTGAGAAACACCCTGTGACAGGAGTGAAAGCTGTGGATGACATCATGCATGTGTTGCTGGGCTTTTGAATCTTGGACTCGCTGACACATTCATCCGATGTACACACAAACTGATGCACCAACCCACAAATAAAACACAAAACACAACTGCAATTTGACCCAGTAAGTGTGTTTGCATCTCACCCTGTGCATGTCCTCTTCGAACGCGGTTTCATGGACGCTGCATGCAAAGAGCGCCGTGGGGAGGTCGCTCAGATCCATCATCTCCTCCCCTACGCCATCCTGATCAGTCTCCCCAAACACCATGTCCTCTTCGTCCTCCTCGTCCTCCTCAGGATCGCTGCTGTAGGCCTCTGAGCCTTTGCTCCAGGCCTTGGAGCTCTCTCTGAGCATTCTAATTTATTTTAGGATGGCAGCTGACAGGAACCACAAGGGCTGGGAACTGGGAAGAGATTGGACATTGGGAGATAAGGTGAATATACATTAACTGTAAGTTTGTGGAAGAGTTATCAGTAAATGGTGGTAGTGGGACAATGGTGCATGAAGATTACACAGTTGCAGATTATATTAAAATAGGCTGGGGGATAGATAAAAGAGAGAAACAGAGAGGGAAAATGAAGGAAGGGTTGACGCTTTAAGTGCATGACAACGACTCAAATTCAAAAAAGGAATTCAAAAAAGAGGTGGAATTTTTATACTGTATTTAAACCTTTTTGTGGGTCAGTATTCCTGATTTGATCCCGGTCAAGGATTACTTGCTGGTTAAAATGTACAACTTGTTTCTGGTGAGTGTTTTGAGAATCTTTTAATGATCCATTACAAAAGGAACTGTATTCATATTTGGCCTGCAAGTATTGATGTTTGACCAATTTGCTGATTATTATCCTAATTGTTAAAAGGTTGACTCGATAAAAAAAAAGGTGAAAAATTATATCCCGGATCCCAAGTTGGCCAACAGTTCAACACTGAACATATTCATTTCATACTCATAGAAGGCTAAGAAAACAGCTCATATTAACTTTAATTTACTTTTTTTCGGCATTTGCTCAAATAATTTCTTGATGTAGTTAATTTACTGTTAACTAATCAATGCATCGACATAATTTAACAAATGAAAAACACTGATAAAAAAGGAATAGGGTTATGATGAAGTCTGATCCCAATGTGAAACTTCCAACATTGTACTGGGGATAGAGTGCCATCTACTGGAATATTTAGCCAAGTGAAGATTATTATTAATAATTTAATCACAACACCGTTAGAAAATCGACCTTATCTCAAATAGATTAGGAGAAATATGGCGTTGATATTTAAATTACAGTCAAAACTGCACACTAGTGTCATCTATCTCATTACAATAACATGGAAATAGAGGACGCTAAAACAACATCACATGTCCTCAGAATAAATGGCCGTAGATAACTATGACATCAACATTTGCGTCGCGTGCATTCAAAACAAACCCCTGGCTCTCACATCAAGGGCGCGTGTTAATGAAGTGTTGCACGCGCGTTTAGCACAAAAGTAACGTAATATCTCACAAAAACACTTCCCATGCTAAATGCTGTTTTAAGCTACAACGACGAGGGAAATCATACGAAAGTTAGCACAGACCCATGGTTGCAAGCTAACGAGCGAAGTTACTGCTTTAATTTACCTTTCAAACCGGTTTAATTGCGAACATTTGTGTCTGTGGTACTCACCTCACTGCTGTCAGTGAAAGCGGCCGGAACGACCCATTGCACGTGCACTGACAGCTATATTTTCTGGTGACTTTGTCAAACAGATTAAAGCTGCTGTGATGTTTTTAAACCTCTGTCAGACCCGTCGTTGTTTATTACTGGATTATTTGACTACTATTTGATGCAGCCTACTCCGGCGTCAGGACCCGCAGGTGAGACCAATCAAAGGCCGCCGGAGGAACCTAGCGACCAATGAGGCTGCAGCAGGGGAGGATGCTCCGCTTCAAGATTGGTGGCGACTGAGCAGAGAAGTGTCACAGAGGTTTCTGCTGGGAAACTATGCTTTAATTTGACAAGGACAAGCATCCAAAAGTGGGTCAATCACAACATAAAGTGAGTAAACATGAGTTACTCACATTGTTATACTTCTAGTTAGATTCAAGTTAAAATATCTGATATACCTGTTGCATTCATAGGCCTACACAAAATAAGGACAATTTTTCTACAGCGAATTTAAATTCCTCAGTTTCAAGTGTTTCAGTTTTTTTCAAGCAACATGAAGCAACAGCATGTCAAAAGTAGGTTTTTTCACACACCAAATTGCAGAATTGATGATTACAACTTCAAAAGAATGCTGTAGTGCAGTTACCTCTTTACATCTCTGAAAGGTTATCTTTCTGGCAGATTGATACAGTGTGCTATGACACAGTTTATGACTGTTGTCTGACAATGCAGTGAGTTATATATTTTGTTTTTCATTTATCGTTAAATCAATCATCAGTTCGGACAGAAAAGACGGGCAGTATATGGTAAGTTAGATCAGTATTATTTACATTGATTAAAACTGAGAAAACGTTTTTTCATCAATTCTCAGAGTTAAAACTTTTGATATATAGTATATCAGAATTAGGTTACATTAAGTTTGGCACAACATTGCATATCATTCACAAGGGAAAAAGGCTAGACATTTGACTGGACAGTTTAGGTTCCATTAATGGCAGTTTTGTTAAGACTGGCTGGTTTATACAGGGATGTAATGACTTTTTGCACACACACACAACAAACCACAGGCGACATAACTACAATTACTACATGATGAATACTGTGGAAAGGTTCTGCTTTTTTAACAGTGCAGAAATGCATTACATACAGTATGTAGAGGTGGAGTCTATCCAATCATTATGGAGTGTTTTTTTGTCAAGTTTAATAATAAATTATGATTCACAAACCGCAGAAATATCTTTGTAACATTTTGATGGGAAGGTTACATTTCCTAAAACATAATTAACAAAATGTATATGCAAATGTTAACTTTTATTTCTTGATTTGTTTGTCATCAGAAACTTCAAGGTTATCAGGTTAAAAAGGACAGCAAAATTATTTTCAAAATGTACACAAACAGTAGACTACCCAACCTTAAACGTACAGTTCACATTTAAATAGTTGTACAGTTCATCAGTAATTTCAAGAGGCTTGTATGATTTACTTCCCTTCTTTTTGAGTGACCACCTTCTTTTCAATGGTTTCAGATTTCAATAAACAGAATACAGTAGCTTTTTGTTTACAACTAAACTGCTACAGTGATGCTTGAATTACCCTCCTGGGTCATGTAACACCTCACAGTTATTACAGTAACTTCCAGTGTACTGTGACTTGTTAAGGCACACTAAGAGCTAACTTCAATAGATAAATACATTATAATAAATTAGAAAATGTGCCCCCATTGTTTGGTCACATCAGGAAAGTAGTAATACAATGAAATTCCTACAACAGGAGGCAAAATTGCGGAGTAAAAACCGCTCACATAATAAAAAGTTAGAGGCAGATATTTAAGGTCAAAAAGTTCATTGGCAAGTCTGCAGCTATATTTTATAACGTTGAGGAGTAACTTGAAAATCCTCAATGGAAGAACAGATCCATTAATGTCGTCATTAATGAGCGAAGAATAGCTTAACAGTCATGGGAGTGAGTCCTTAGATCTCCATTCTAACACAGTGAAGGCAGTAAGCTCCAAGGCACAGCATCTGCTCTGCTGTGAATCCAATAAAACATCCAGCAGCTTCAGGTTTCCTCTCTTCATTTTGGAATGATAACAGCTGACATCTTCTCAAAAAGGAATGCTACTAATGGTCAGGTTTTGGTGAAGAGATTATAGAAAGCAAAGCATGTGAATGGGAGTGTAAGGCACCCAGTTAACACCCTCTACTGGGCTGGAGGTTGGCCCAGAGTACATGTGAAAAGAGCTGAACATACCCATCATGGCCTTCCAAGCTCCTTGTATGTTGTCTTTTTGTTGAATGAAGGGGAAAATACTCTGTTTTAATCTCTCTTTAGGTCTGGCTGGCCATGAGATGCTTCAGTGGACCTGGAGCGGACCGGTGTTAGTTCCAGGTTGACCGAATGTGTAGCAGGAGCAGCTCCATCATTGTTGACCAGGGCTCCATAGGAGAAAGAGCCATTGGAGTCTGGCTGAACAACCAGGCCTTTGTCATGAATAGTTGGGACTCCTGATGATGGAAGGTAAGGTAGGATAAGTTTCAAGTAAGGACATTGTAGTTAAAATAAAGACACTGAATGATGAATTTGCAATGGAACTTTTGGGAAGTGTTAACAAGTATGCCAGGCTATAGTAGAAATCAGTAAACTGTCACTTTGTACAAATCTTTAAATATCAATATATACAATATTCTATTATTTAAGTAAAATTGTATACAAACCATTAACCATGTCCATAGTCACATATGGCTCAAAGTTCTTTGTCTTTTTCCTGTTTTTGGTGATGAGAAACACTCCAAGGAAACAGAATGCAGATCTGTACAAAGCACAAAATATGTGTACAATTCTTTAATGCAAGTCACCCATAATTTAATTACATCAAATGTCTGTTTTCTTGGATATTTGTCTATAACATTAAAAATAACTTCACAGGCCTTTCACGGAGCAGCCATTTTAACATGTAGTAGGAAAAGCACAGGTGTTACTAATACAAGATGATTTCAGCATGCACAATACCAGGAAACTAAAGGAGTTAAATTGAATTCAGCCATAATTTTTCTTTATTATTAAAAAGTGTGCTTGTCCTATGTGACATTTCAAAATGTCTGTCAGAAAGACCCATGATGGACGATTACTCACCCCAACAAAAACATGCAGATGTGAAGGATGTCCTCTTTATTGAACTCTAGGTAGAACACAGCACCTGAAAAAATCAGAAAAATATTTGTTGACTCTAAAAGGGTTAAGCAGGAAAACATTGCAAATCAGACCCTAGCCACACGGAGACGGTAACGAAAACGAACCGAATTCGATATCAAAAAAGTCTTCCGTTCACACGCAATCGGCACCAGAAACGTGTCCGTCCACACGAGACCGCTAGACCCGCTGGAGACGCTGTAGTACATATGCCGGGCCTGTAAGTGCGCTGTACTTCCGCCACAAAATACACCAAAAGCAGCGAAGAATACTTCACGAGCATGCATGGTTGCCATGGTTGCCCTTCTGTTTATTCTCCAAAGTGGATTTAGCAGCAGAGGTGGGGAGAGGCAGGGGCCAGGGCTCTGGCTCTTTTTCTCCCTCCCCGATGCAAGCGTGTGCTCCTGCAGTAAATCTCCCTGGTAGTCCACCAGCAGATGAAAAACACCCACCTCTCCGTCTCTTCCAAGGGACGAGGGAACCGTGCGGCAGAGTTTCCGTTAGAATTTTTTTCCGCCGGTCAACATGTCCGTTAAAGTTTAAATCTTCCAGACAAAATTATAAAAGTGCCGGTCAAAGGTCTTCTTTGTTATTTATTGAGCTTTAAAACAAATGAATAACGACTCTATATAATAATATACGGAGTCTCTCTTTTCCAACCCCTCTCCTGACAACCCGTCAGTATTTTCGTTATCAGGAAATGATCGTATAGGGCGTAATCACGGAGCCGTTTGGCCCCCCCAGAGCGATGCGTCCGCAGATCTACCACCTTGGGACCCGTTATCGTTATCGTTATCTGCGTTTCCCTGTCGGCCACACGTGGCCGAACCGTCTATATGATCGAGAACTGTAGCGGATACGACCCGTTGCGTCAGGCATCAGGCTCCAGGGCGTTGCATTTGTTTGTGTGTGGCAGTAATATGCAAACACCGGTCAATACCCGTCAGAGTATTAGCTGCGGATAATAACTCACCAGCTACCACAGCAAAGACGGTAGAGAGGATGTAGTTGAAACTGGCAATCAGAGAGGAGTCATGCAGCTTACAGGCTTGGGAGAGGAAACTAAAAAAGGCAATAGAAGACAACAAAATATAAAATCAGCATTGATTTAATAAAACCTATTGAAAGACCTTCACTTAGTTCTGATCACCTAAACTATACAATCTTGAATTGAAGCCAATGTTATGAAAAATACAACCTCAGACTCAGTAAACACTTTATCTGTGATGTTCACTCACCTAGCCTGGAAGACCACTGAAGCCACCATACACACAAACATGACACTAAAGATCGGGTAGTCCAGCTGCATGGTGCCCTCGAATGTGAGAACCAACATGCCTGACACCGCCTTCACTGTGATGACTGTGACCGAGCCTGTGCATAAAGGTAGAAAGAACAGCACAATTAAATACAAAACAAACCAAAAAATGTTTCACAAAAGCTCAAATGCATTTCAAACATTAACCATGAGGGAATTGTGATTCTAATATTCTAATGAAATATGGTAAACAGCTTGGGGGTATTAAATTGACAGGCTTTAATGAGAGACACTCACCCAATAGAGCCACCAGCATCAGAATAACAACGAGGGAGTTAGCATTGCGCTGTTTGTAGAAGTATAAAAGCAGGCAGAACGTGATGATCTCCAGGAGCTGTCAATGAGGGGGATAGAAACAATAAACAGAAAATTAACAGCAAATAAACATGGAACAGGAAGCTCTGCGGTCCTTTGTGGATCACAGCTAGAGTAGAAACAAATCTTTGTGCTAAATAACAACAACGGTAGAGAGAGCTGGGACATTTGTTTAATACCATAATATGGAAGAGTATATTTGTTGCTGCCGCTTGTAGTGTTTTAAAGAAAGTATCCCTCCATTTGTCTCTCATCCAGTGTTAACTACTTGGACATACTGTTCCAGTTTGCTAACACTGTTGTCCAGTGTGTTTGGCTTAAAGGATGTATTTATGACTTAAGAGGCTATTA